TTCAGTCTCTTTCCGCCTCGTTAAGACTTCATCCACAACCTACAAATCACACTAACTAATGTACTTCAAAAAAAATAAAAATCAAGTTAAACCATACCTACTGTTTTCAATGTGTTTGATGGAGGAAGTCTTGAATTACAGCAAAGGGAAAGGTTGTACACAACTAAATTATCAATCTCAAGGGAAAAGGTTGATTTAAAGGCTTGATTTGAACTCACCTAAAGAAGCAAGCAGCTAGTAGTTACCAGAGTCAAGTGGTCTGCCACGACCCCTTTTGGAAGAAGAGGACTCAGAAGAAGAAGAAGAAGAAGAAGAAGAAGAAGAAGAAGAAGAAGGAAAATGAGGTGAGAAAGAAAAACCTGGTGGTGGTGATGATATAGATGGTAGTCTCAAGTTACCATTTGATTCAAACTTTTGTGGCCTCTCTTTCTTCTTCACCAACAAACCACCGCCACCACCACCAACTACACCATCACCACATGTAGTGGTGATCTGTAGGCTTCTCTCCACGCTCATGTTCATCACGTCAATAACAAATTGTATTGGTATTAAAGTATGAAATAAAAAAAAAATAGAACAAATAAGTCCTAAATTCAGACTTGGAAATCAAATCAAAGGGAAAAAAAAGCCCTGTCATAACTAATGTACTTTAAAAAAATAAAAATAAAAAAAGCGCACCAACAAATACGGACAAAAAAATCTAAATTAACAACCAAATTAATCTCACCTTGGTAATGAAAAAAGAAACAAAGAATAACATTCAGATTAAAAAGTAACAAAGAATAACCCTCAATGGTGTATTAAGCATGCTAGATGATCTTCAACCATATATGTATTAAGCATACTACACTACCAGTTTTCTGATCATTAAATCAAATCTATATAGATAAATTACAATCAACTACCAGTTTTTCTGATCATCTACTGTAAGGGAATGTGTTTGATGTTTAACCAAATCTATATAAATTCCTGGGCATACATTATAAAAGGTTAAGGAAGAAATTACAATGCCTTTAATCGAAAAAAAAAATTACTGGGAAAAAAATTACAATGATCATTCTATTTAATCAAAAATAAAACCAGCCAAGTAACAATTTTATCACATCAACACTGCATCACTGGAAAATAAAATATTATCAGATATAATTTTGACAATGCCCTCAAGAGGGAGGTTTTGACCAAACCCTGTATCACTGGAAAATACAATGTTATCTGAAAAAAAATTAACAAACTAAAAAAATTGTGGGCGTTTCACAAACTTAAAAAATTTCACAAACTCAGAAGCTGTGGGAGTTCCCACTGAAAGTCAAAAAATTGGATTTGATTATATTATGGAAAATACAATGTTATCTAAAAAAAATTCACAAACTCAAACAATTGTGGAAGTTTCACAAACTCAGAAGCTGTGGGAGTTTACAACAGCTGTAGACGTCCCCGAACGCCCCGGGAGGGAATCCCCCCCAGCCCCCCCCCGGTTCTGTTCGTTTTGGGTTCACTACAGTTCAGGACTCTCAAATTGTCACGGTTCTTAACCTGAACCAAAGAGTCCAAATCCGGCAAATCGTTTTGGAAACAGATTTGTAGAAAGAAGTGCCAAATCATGGACTTGCTTTGCCAGATACAGAGTCGCCACCTAAATATTTTTTTTTTTATGGGGAATTTAGGAAACCCTGACTCGGTGCCAAAGGCCACGGTCGTCATCACCAAAGTTGTCTCGCTCGGGAGCTTGTTTACGATTGGGAAGGTTCAGCTATCAAGCACCCCCTCTCGCCCGATCCGAAGATCGGCCTCTACTAACCGTGATATCCGTTTTTGAAAACGTTATATGTTCTTATTCCGGTTATTAGCCTAGATTTACTATGTTATGCGCACAGCAAAAAAAGTATAGACCAAATCGCCTGAATTGGAACGAAGCATTGCATATCCGTTTGTTTGAAAAACAGTTTGAAATTTGCTACTCGCAAGTAGGCTAAAGCACGGACTTCAATGAGTTGTTCCAACTCAAACAATCCAACTTTCACCCACAGGCATTCAAGCAGTTTATATCACATAAGCATCTAGCCTCATGGTAATCATGCTATTATGGCAACACTCACACATATCAAATGGCCTTCATCCCAGTCATACATGTCAAACGGTATCCGACAGCCTTTGGCCCAATCATTTATTTCAAACGACCTTCGGCCTAATCATTCATATCAAACGACCTTCGGCCCAATCATTCATGTCAAACGGCCTTCGACCCAATCATTCATGTCAAACGGCCTTTGGCCCAATCATTTGGCATAACAAATATAGATTCCTCCGGTGGGCGGTGCTCCAGCTGGGCCTTCTATTCCTGCTCGAGGAGGGCGTGGAGACACTGCACGTCCCCGTACCAAGGGAGGGCGTACTCATGTCGGGAGTAGTTCTCGAGCGCCGACCCCTGATGATGATGATGATGACGATGATGAGTCCGAGGCAGAGGCA